TTTTTTTTTTAATGTTTAGTTTATCCCAGTGCAGGTTACTCTCTGTGACGACTTATCACTCTGATGGCTACATCTTGTGTAGGCTGGGATAGTCCTGTTTGGGGGCGGATTTCCAACAGAATCATTCAGAGAACCATTTTGACTTCCAACATGCTTCCTGTTTGACCAAGAAATTGCATAGTCATATTATTTATTTCCTATTGCAAGATGAATGCCAACAAGCAGTTGAGACTTGCAGGTTCCGCACCTGTGGGAACTCGCACCAGTTAACCAGTAAAAAGATGAAGTATTACCACGTTCTGAAAGGCTTGGGCCATTCGCCTTTGGATATTTGCCCTCTTCAGTTGCAACATGATCAGAAAAGCCAACAGCACCGTCAGGCAGGTCATCCCAGCTGAGCCGAGGATGGCTATAAGCAGCATCTTTCCACCTCCCAGGTTGGCTCCAGCTGGGCAGGAGAACAGAGAGACAACAGCAGGATCAGGTCAGGGGGAGCAAGGCCAAGACCATCGGTGGGGAAGAGTAGGGTGACGGGCCTATCATGGTCGTCTTTGCCCTGCCACTATTGTTATATAACCTTGTTTGAGCTGCTTGTTTATTTTATGAACCTCGTCCGAGAGAAATCTGACTCAAGCAGTTGCATAGGAGATAAGACATTCACCTGCGAAGCTCTTTGTACATAGCAATGTGCATTAGCGGCCATTTGTTCAAATTTTACTCCCAAGTAGAGGCTCAAACACAGGGACACTATCAAGTAATATTAAGAATAGGTAACAAAATGTATGATGTCAGGAACATACACAGGAAAGATGGAGAGGAAATGGGAGAGAAGGAGGGAGAAAAAGGAAAAGGTAAAAGAGAAAAAAAAATCACTGAATTTAGTGCTCAGATTAAAATAAACTATTAGAGACTGTGGTCTAATCCTTCTACTCCCCTCCCCACCCCCACCCCCACACTTACTTAAAGGAAATAAAATCAGCCTCAATCTATTTTATTAAAAGCAGCATGATCTCATCTTTATAAAAATATTCTTATATGACTATCTACTATTCCTTCTATATTTATGTATGTGCACACAAAGGTGAGAATTTATTGTTTTCCTTTGTCTCCTGTTCATTTTATGGATAGCTGGATTTAGGGTACATTTGACCCCAATAAATGTATTATTAAAAGTATGCATTTACTAGGGTTGCTATTGATCTGAAAGAACTCTACGATTGGCTGACTCATTTATTGGACATACATTTCAAACAGTTGCAATGAACAAACACTGATCACACAGCTTCTTCTATTCATTGAAACCTTGGTAATCCTCCAAGAAAATGCAGGATTGTTTTGCACTCTCAGATTTTCTGTGAAAATACACTCTGGCTAAAATACAAATTGGCAGAACCCAGTATTTCCACTTTGACGCCCATCGTCCCTCCATCTCCATTTCTTTGTGCATCTTGTGCAGAATAGGAAGCCAAGGGGCATCATTCACAGGGTTACACTATTTAGGTATGCTGTGAGCTGCGGCTCTGCCCACACCTGAGGACCTTCTTCAAGTGATCCCATTGGTCCATCACAAACAGAGGACATAGTGCTAACATTGACCTCAAAGAGTTTCCTCTCTCTGCAGTGGGAGTTATTAGTAGGGCTGGAGACATCAGAGCAGAGAAATAAAAGAAAACTTGGAATCACAGGAAGAGAGTATAGCTCAAAGACAGCTCATTTTGAGCGGTGAAGTATGGTTCTTGGAGGGAGCCTCTCACTGAAACACACCTGCCTTAGAAGTCCCACATATTTCTTCCCCCTCAGAAGCCAGATTCACATTCCTTGTTAAGTGGGGAACAAGCTGATAGGTTTAGTCATTCCAAGGTGCAATGATAGAAAATGTACCAACCTAATCTCCTTCCCAGTAAGAACTTATTGTGAGAGATGAAGCCTATTTTCGGAGAAGTGGATGAAGTTACATGGTATGCAAATAGGGCAAATATCGTAAGAGAGTAGGGTTTTGCTTGATGGGATCTCAAAGTAACTGTATGTAAGAGATACCTGTCCACCAACCTTGAGATTCTGAGAGGGTCATCAGTTCATGAGAAAAGGTTGGATGGCTCGACCCTATGTTGTTCTCAGCAAAAATGTCCACCTGGTAAGCTGTTTCCGGTTCTAGGCCCTTGAGTTGGTACTGGGTGATGGTGGCATTCTTGATCTTCACATCAATGTGCTGGTCTTCATTCTTGCCCTGAACCTTGTAACGAATGATGACTGAAGAAATAGAATGGCCATCCAAGATCGTCCAAGAGACGACAGCCGAAGAATCGGTGATGTTGGAAATCTTGATGTTTTCTGGTTGAGGAGGTAGAACTAGAAATATTTTTAAAAGACAGTGTTTTACTTAAGACATTCTCATTGCTTAGAGGTTCAGGCTTTTGAAATGTGATTAATGTCAGTTCACAAACCATGGATGGCATATAGACAACATTTCCACAAAGTTAAATCTATTACTCTACAAACTTATATGGGCAAACAGCACAATTATTACTCTACAAACTTATATGGGCAAACAGCACAATTATGAAAGCAGATATGTATACCCCCTGGTCATGGAGTCAATACAGTTTCATATGGGCCCTATAACGACCTATAGGACAGACTAGAACTGCCCCATAAGGTTTCTAGTTCGTTGGTAGTGGCTATTGGATACACGCAGACTTGGCAGAAAGGTGCAAGAGGGGGAAGTGGCAACCCATACTAAGGGGGTTTCACAAAGTTTAAGGAAATGGAATTGAAACATAATAGAATTTTCTCGTGGTCTTTTTGAAATCCCCCTCCTGTGCCATATGTTGGCACTCTTTATATTAACTGACCAGTGGAAAAAGATGAGGCTGTCTGCTTCCATAAAAATTTATAGTTTCAGAATTTCTTTCCATCAGAATTGACTCAATATCAATGGGTTATAGTAAATTAAGACTTGATAAATTCTCTGACTCTATAAACCTATATTACATTGTTCTCATACCAACGCATGCCCAATCTATAACAAACCTATAGATGGCGTAGAATGACAGCAAAGGGCTTCCTAGACTGTAATCGTCACAAAGCCCACTACCACTCTCTCTCTGGGGGACCTGCTGGCCCGTTTGACCGCGGACCTAAGCATTGCAGCACAAGTACACGCAACGTTCCTACAGTGACTGCACGGAGCCAGGTGTCATTCTAGGACCTTCCTTGGGCTGGCCTCCTTCTTCTCTATAATAAGCCCAGCCTGGGGGCTCATGGTTAAACGCTTGGTCGCCAACCAGAAAGTTGGCAATTTGAACCTTCCAGCCACTTTTCAGAAGAAAGATGTAATCGTCTGTGTGCTTCGGTGAAGATGACAGCATTGGGAATCTTATGAGGCAGTTCTACTTGGTCCTACAGAGTCGCTAGGAGTCAGAAGCAACTCAGCAAGCCGCTCTGTGTTTGGTAGTTTTTATGATCAGTATCGGGGGCCAGAGATGAAGCAGAGTTTTGTGCGGATGACTGTGAAAAGGGGTTTTGATATGTCTGTGTCGTGCTCTTCATTCTACAAATCAGCAAAAGCCTGAAAGCAAATGTGGCAAAACTTCACAGTTGTTGATCCTGGGTGGTGGGAATGTGGTGATTGTTGTGCTAGTCTCTGGGCCCTTCTGGGAGCTCTATCACACACAATTTCTTTGCAGTCGGATGCAGTATCTAGTCACTGCCAAACAGTTCCTTTTCCATGAGTTGCTGATGAGAGGGTAGCTGGAGAAACCTTGAGCCCCTCCCGCGCGGCCCCCTGCCAGCGGGCGTGGAGGAGATAGAGAACCCAACTCAGAAGAGCCTCTGGCGAGGGACTGGGACTGAAGTATTCATTTCAAATCCCGACTTCAGTGAGAATTGGTGTGGCCAGGAAATGTCTACCTTTCCACGGGTTCCAAACTCACAGCTACAGCTGGAAGGCAGTGACTACAAATAGACTCTGTTTTGTGAGTAAAAATGTGTCAGCACTCTAAGTGTGCCCTAGAAGTTCAATGAGTTTTTTAAAATCACTTTAGTGGGGGCTCATACAACTCTTATCACAATCCGTCCATCCGTCCATTGGGTCAAGCACATTTATTTGTCCATTCGTTGCCCTCATCGTTCTCAAAACATTTGCTCTCCACGTAAGCTCTTGGCATCAGCTCATCATTTCCCCCTCCCTCCAAGTTCAATGAATTTTAAATGGCCAAACTGAAGTGGAGAAAAATTTTAATTGCAGAATATTCAAAAGAAAAGCGGCTTTGTTATTCTCTTAAACAATGACTTCCATAATTGTCTGTTATGAACACTTTTTAAGCAAAGCTATTTGGCTTGTATGATTAGAATGACCCATCTGTGAGTAATCAACATGTGTTTGTAGATGAAATATACCCCAAACCAAATATACCCCAAGCCATTGGGTTGATTCTGATTCATGGCAACCCAAGGTAGAGTTTCCTCAGCTGTAGATCTTTACAGGAGCAGACAGCCTCCTCTTTCTCCTGAGGAGCTACTGGCGGGCCGGACAACCAGCCGTGTCATTCGCAGTCCACAGCGCCACCAGGGCTCCTTAGGAGATATCCAGTCCTCTTTAAAAGTCATCCTATAATCAATTAAACCAGCCCAAGAAAACCTTATCTTGTGTTTTAATTTACTTTTAAGAGACTCTGAGATAGGTAAGGTTTATTGTGCCAACCTGGCCGATAAACACATGTGGGATTAATTGAGGGGGAGAGAGATAAATGGCTCAGCAAGCCTCGCCGTTTTTGTTCTCTGGTCTCTTATTCTCTGATGGTCAGACCAGTGTGCAGCAGCCTTAGCTGGCAAGGCTCACTTCCTGTGAGATATCCCTGAGAAGAAGCCATATGGACCTACCCTGATGCAGCCCTGGGTGCTGGAGCAGCCGTGTGGAAACCCCTGCCAGCTCTAAGATGCTTACACGGCTTTCCTCCTGCAGCTGGCGTCATTGCGTGTATTTAGTGAGATGGAGGAGGACTTTGTGGATTGGTGTCAGTTGGACTGATGGGCTAATGTTGGACTGATGGGCTTGGGAAGCACTGGGTTGGGATGCTTTCTTAACGTGCACTTACCCTTTATATAAAAATCTCTCTTATACATATGTTTCTGTGGATTGGTTTCTCTAGTCTACCCAGACTAACACAGACTCCATACCCCAAAAGGTAAAGTTCGGCAATCACTTCTATCCAGGCCATTGTGACTCACAGAGACACTCTAGGACAGAGTTGAACTGCCCCTCCAGGTTTCCGAAGCTACAAATCTTTCTGGGAGCAGAAGCCTCATCTTTCTCCCATGAATCAGTTGGTGGGTTTAAACCCTGGACCTTGTGGTTTCCAGCCCACCACATAACTCATGATGCCACCAGGACTCCTGAAATTTTAGCACAGCCTGTGTAAATAATTGCAAATACAAATTCATGGGGTGTTCTTATAGCTTTACAAGAAAGCAAACAAACAAACAAAAAATAACTGCTGTGCAGTCCATTCCGACTCAATGACTGTGTGTTTTGGAACAGACTTTATGAGGTTTTAATGGCCGTGACCTTTCTGAAACGGAACACCTTCCAGAAATAGAGCTCCTTCTTCTAAGGAGCCTCTCAGTGGATTTGAACCGCCAGCATCTTGGTTAATAGCCAAATACTTAACCCTTGGCACCACATAGGTGACGAAAGGAGATTTGGTGTTGGAGATGGCCACTAAGTCTGCATCCACAACTAACTGCGTACTCTGATTCCCAAGAAACAGTCTTGAGACGACGCAGAGGCTGACCACTGTTCTGTCAAGGCTGGGCCGAGGGAGGTACTCACTGTCACTCAGGGTCCAGGCGGTGAGGTCTTCACTCCACTCCCCCTGGGCCTTGGTGTTGACTCGGGCGCGGACCACGTACTGCTCCCTGGGGTGCAGGTGGTTCAGGAGCACGGAAGTGAAGTTTCCGGGGACTTTAATGTTTTGCTGATCGTTCTTTACCTGCACAGACCTTCTCTCCACTTCAACATAAAAGTCATCTTCCAAGCCTGGAAATATTGGTTGCCAGGTCAAATTTAGAGTGGTCTGACTTTTCGGAAGGAGACTGAGCCCTTTGGGAGGAGGGAGACCTAGGAGAAAGCAGACATCTCATTATTTTTCATCTGATGGGAGGGGAGACATCCTCAAAGGGCAGCTTCAAGCAGTTACAGTGGCTTCCAGAATGCCCTCACACAAACGGTCAGAGAACCAGAGGCTTAGCATCTTGTCTTTTATTCCACCAAAACAGGGAACCTTTGAAAGCATTTAATGCCTCATTTGGGCAAGGTAGTACAGGGGTGCAACCTCTTAAGAGAATGATTCAGAGACATTTTTCAAGAGTCCCAGAAATGCCCAGATACTTGGGCTTCAAAATCCACGGAGCAGCGGATTCGTGTTGATCTTCAGTCTTGCCATTAGCAACCCAATGTTTACCTAACAGTGTCCCCTTTATTCCTTAAAAAAGATCCTTTAAAAAAAAATTCACAGCCATCGAGTCAATTCCGACCCATAGCAACCCTACAGGACAGAGTAGAAATGCCCCTTGAAGTTTCTCAGAATACATGTTACAAGAGTCGACAGCTTTATCTTTCTCCCGTGGAGCGACTGGCGGTTTCAAATGGGCGACCTTGCAGTTCACAGCCTGATGCATAACCTGCTCTTCCACCAGAGCACCTTCAAACAAACCAACCGAAGCTGCACAGGAAAGCAGCGGTGGGAAACACTGCTTTGCTCCTTGAGGATTAGCAATTAGCAATACCTTCTGATGGGAGCCAAGGCCTCTCCCCACCCCCCTGCAGACTTCTGATTGCTGTTGGACTAGTGGGAATGAGCAAGCAGGTAATGCAGTTTGACAGGTCCTGCTGGTCCTTTCCCTATAACCTTAGGAAATTGAGAGATGCCAACTCCTTTGGTTAATCTGCAAATCTTAAATTCTACAAGCAGCAAGTCAGCAAGGTTCCGGAGGCAGACAGCGACACAGCAGCAAGCAGGGTTTGTGTTTGGGAGAATACACGCGAGAGACCCTCCTGGGCTTGCATGAGACCCGGAGGAGGAGCCCAGTGAATGGTCATTTCCCTTTGGTTTACTCTTCGCTTTTCTTCACGCCCCCCTCCCCCCCACTTTTTCCTACTATATATTAACAACAAGCTCCCTTTCCTCCCCTCCTGACCTCCCTGGACTTCACTCAACAAACTTATAAATAGCATAACTGTTGGACGAATTAAGGGGGGAAAAACAAACAAGCATCAGCAAAATTCAAAAGCTGGGAAAAGGCAAACCTTTAAGAATTCCTTTCCTGCCTACCGCTGAGAGCTACTTTGATATATTCCAAGAAACCTCTCAATACATCCTGGCTGAAAAATGGTCTAAGGACTGAAGACAGTGCAGCGTGGGACTGCGAAGTGCTTTATGTTTTCTTCTATAAATACGTTCCATCTGAGTCAGATCATGACTGCCCTTTTGTGATTAATCAGCAATAACCTGAGAGAGAATTAACTGCCATCAACCTGTTGACATACAGGGGTCCCTTTGGTCACAGCGATGGGGTTTCTCTTCTTCTCTAGCTTACAGAGAATGGTTGATGGCGCCTCTGTATTGTTTGTGGTCTTATTTGTTTATTTTTGGTATTCACAACCCAACAGGCTCCAAGAAAGCCATTTCTTGTGCAATGCGTCTACAAATGCCAGAGAAGCACTTGATTCCACGTGATTCTTCAAGGACAAGGTTAGTCAGATGAAAGCGAGCTGGCTGGTATGGAAGGCGGGTGGGGGCCTCGGCCAGGGGTGTGTCATCCTGTAAGCTGGACCCTCCTGGTACCTTTCTCTCAAGCATTTTAGATCCTGCCGCCTTTAAGAAAGGGACTAGAGCAGTGGTTCTCAACCTTCCTCATGCCGCGACCCTTTCATACAGTTCCTCATGTGGTGGTGACCCCCCAACCATACAATTATTTTCGTTGCTACTTCATCACTGTCATTTTGCTGTGGTTACGAATCAGGCGGCCCCTGTGAAAGGGTCGTTCGACCCCCAAAGGGGTCGTGACCTACAGGTTGTCATGACCCACAGGTTGAGAACCGCTGGACTAAATTAGCATGGGGAATTCTATCAATTGGGATAAGGAAATGGTGACTCTGGACTCCTTGGTGATTATAATAGAAATTAGAGAAGCAAAAAGACATGGAAGCTAAAAAGATTGGGTTTCCGCATTTCTGGACTTGATTCAGGCATAAGCTACAACATCCTGGGAAACTTATGCACTACTCTGAAACGCTATGCTGCCATTTATAAAACGGGGAAGCTGATATTAATACCCTGCAAGGTCATGTGAACTAAACATATGTAAACTCGAACAAAGTCAAGGGACGAGGAAAGAGACTTTGGCAAGGGCCTCTCCGCGGTTGCGGAGGGAGAGAGCCTGGGCGAGGAAAGCTGGAGCCACGGGATCCTGAAGGACCAGGGCACCAGGGCAAGGGCTCTGCAACGCACAGCAGAAGGCCAATCCAAAGGGCGGACATTGGCGAGCCCAGAAATACTGCAGCGCGGGTGACTTGCAAAGTGAGGGCCCAGAAGCATCACCTAGGAATTCATCAGAAATGCAACTTCTTCCAGCTCGGATCACCTGAAGCAGAAACGCGAGGGGTGGGGGCCCAGCGATCTGCACTTTAACAAATCTTCCAGGGGGCTCGGAAGAACACTAAAGTTTGAGAATCCCGGATTCCGACACTTGGAGGCACGTGTTGGGCAAAACAGCCGGAAAATGGAATGTCGTTACCTCCAGTCCAGCAAGCAGGGCCCAGGGGTAGAATAGTGGAAAACAGGGCGCTGTTCTTTAGATGGAAGCATTATATGCTGTTGTAACTGCAGACATGAATTAGTTTGACATTTTAAAAAGATGTTTGCTCTGGGATGGCTGGCGGATGTATGTGACCAGAGCCAGGCCTGGTACCTTAAGAAGGAAAGGGAAGCTGGGGATACCGTGCAGGCGCCCAGGCCCGCGCAGTGGCTACTGAGTAAATCCCAAGGCCTCAGGGATGGATGGCCTTCCCGGTTCATCTGCTTCCCCTGGCCGCCCGGTTGCCGTGAGCTCCTTCCCCAGGGAGGCGAGCCTGGAGGCCGGCCACGTAAAGGAAGCCTGGCTGAAAGTGGCTGGCCTTCCTGTCACTTTCCCCACCCATTCAAAAGCAAACGCCGGCCACCTCCATCCCCACCCACCCTCTCACCCACCACCACCCTTCCTGGTCTTCCTTCCTGGTTCCCCTTCCTCCCCCTCCCACCCAGTTCGCGGAGGGACGCCTGCTGGCTCCAACTGACCGATGGAAGCGGTGGTGAACCGCCTCACGGGGCCAGGATGCCCATCGCCGCCCTCTCCGCGCCGGATCAGCTGCACGCAGAGCTCGTATTCCGTCCGCGGCTCCAGAGCGGTCAGGGTGACGATCTCGTTTGTCACTGAGAAGAGGGACAGCGCAGGAAACTCAAGTTGGCATCTTTGACAGGCTTTAAACTTGGGTTGCTGTGCCTGTGATGTGAACTAAGGTGAGGTTATAAAAATGACTATGTCCTGGACTTAGGGAAACAAGCAGTTCCTTCCTCGGGGCCTCACCATCCCCCAAATCGAAGAAAAACATGACGTTTTAAAGGGCATTTCCAGGTGATAATCTATACTTTATTAGATGTTATTTCCACGCCACTTACACCTTCCTGCTCTAAGGCTTTTCATTTGCAGAGGACAGCTTCAAAAATCCTCAACTCTATGGAATGCCAGTCCAATTGAGGCGGGAGAAACCTCAAGTGGAATAGTAAAAATATTTTTTTCCTGTGCTTTCAAGCACATCTGCTTACCTACAGTCAAGCTAACTAGGAAAGAAACTCTTAAGACGGTTTTGTTACACGGATGACAGAGCTGCTTTGTGATGGTCACAACGACATCAAGTGTTCAAACACAAATCACTTAAATCGTGTGTGCCTCCTGTTTTTTCCCTTAGCTATTTTATTTAATCAGTTTCTATATATTTCTCCATGAATATTGAAAAAGTAAACTTTTGCTTATTATAAGATAAATTCCCAGCCACTTAAAAAACTAATGGGGTATTCTTAAAAAGTTCTTGGAAGGCGACTTTGTGGATACCCAACTGTAAAAAGAGATAGTGCATTACTAAAACCTTATGGTGGGGGCAGTAAAAATGCTTTTTAATAAGGACCAGCCATTAATGTGGACAACAAGCATCCCTCAAATCAGCCTGATGCCCCTGAGATTATGACTGTTGACTGAGTCTACAAACCACTTTCAAGAGCTCGGCGATATTGCATGAGGACCTTTTTCAAAGCAGCCAGCTCAGCTGGAATTAGTGTGCCAAGGACCCTCCCTTTCCTCTTCCAGTTTGTAACTTCCTCGGTTATCGACATACACTGGGCCCCAAACTCCCTGCCATCAAGTCTGTGTAGGCCTAGTGAGACCGTGCCTTAGACTGTTGTTAGTGGAGGGATACACTGTACCTGTACGTATGGCCCTGGCAGATCTCCCTACAACATGGTGCAAGTAAAGATGCGTGAACCGTAATTTGTTTCAAAATATATTTAGCTGATTTCATGCAGTGTTGGCATTTTGTCAAATGTTGTTTGTCTTTCTTCTTCAGGAAGTTTGAATAGAAGCATGTACCTTTTTTTGCCTACTCCCTTTTCCTCCCTGTGACCCCAGTGAGTCGGTCACAGCTCAGGTCCAGATCCCTCCAACACCATGGGTGTTAGGAGTGTGAAGGACAGAGCAAGATGTGGAAGGAAAAAAAACAAAAAAACAGTCGTGGAGCAGAAATAATCACCCCTAGGGAGATTAATGTCTCTGTTCTCCAGAAGGCTCTAGATTTACCTATTTCCATATTCATGGTGGAAACACATATTTCTTATGATGATCAAACAAGATTGAGTAATTAAGACCAGTACTGAGGATCCAGAGATGTCTCAGAGGGAAATATATGTACATGGGTCCTGATGCAAAGGCTTCCAGAAAGTTCACTCTAGCACTCGCTTGTCCAAAACTTACCTGGAATATCTTGCCAAGCCTCGTAATGATTAACAGGTTTGTATAGGAGCTTCTTGGATTTGATTGGTCCATCCCCAAAATATGGCTCAGAGCTGATGTTGATGACAACAAAATTATGTCCAGTGTCAATCACGTGTGGGGCATTCAGAGGCTTTGGAAGAACTAAATAAAATATCAGTAACCAGGTTAATCAGGGTTTGTTGCTCTTAGTGGGGAAAGGGACCGAGGGAGTGCTTCTATGCTTTCCACAAAACCCTTTAAGAGTTTTCTGCTCAGAATCTACAGTCTCATCCTTTCTGATGTCCCCACCCGGTCCTGGCCCCTACAATCCATTAGCCACCAAATTCTTTCTTAAGATACAATTGTTCCTTTGCTCGAGATCATTCAGTGGGGTCCCTTTATACTTAGGACCAAAAAAGAAAAAGAAAAAGCACACTCACTGCCTTCGAGTCAAAGCTGATTCACAGTTGAGCAATCGTGGGTTTCTGAGACTGTGTTTATAGGAGTAGAAAGCCCAGTCTTTCTACTGAGAAAGAGCTGATGTTGGTTTTGAACTGCCAACCATGTGGGTTACAGCCTAAGAGTAACCACTACACCACCACAACTCTTAGGACAGAATCTAAAATTCGTACCTTCCCCTGGCAGACCTGGCCTACTCTCCAGCCACCTCTTCCTCTCATCCAATGTCCTCCTGCCCCACTGGTCCCCTTTCAGTTTGTCCAGCACACTACACTCAGGCCTGCCTTCGAGTCTTTGCCGATGTTGCTCCCTGCAAAGAATGTGCCACCTCCCACCATCTTCCTGGCTAACTCTTACTCATCCTTCAACTATCAGCTCCAATCTGATTTCTTCAATGGATCTTCTCCTGGAGCCTCACGTAGGTTTTTCTTTCTGTAGACTTTCACAGAACCTACACTTTTCTTTGTGGTGCTGTCTAGAGCTGACTATTCTTTGTGAGTTTATGGGATGATTTAATTATCAGCTGCTCTCTAGATTCTACACCAGTGCTTCCCAAAGTGAGTGTTACCCCAGGGGGCATTGGAATGATGGGGTGGGAGAGGGGCTGAGGGCTAGAGAAGTAGATGCCTATACTTTATTCTAGATTATGGGCTATAGTACAAGCTGTTTTAATTGCCAAGGTTAGGGGACACTAAGAATTTTTTTTTCTGAAAAGGTCTAGAGTCTAGACCATGGGTGAAGACTATCCAATAAGCAGTTCCAGCCATCACATCAGGGGTGAGTTAATTAAATGTTCCATCAAATTCTCTCCAGAACCCAAATTCGCTGCCATCAAGTCAATTCTAACTCATAGAGATCCTTAGTGACAGGGCTGAACGGCCCCGTGCGTTTCCAAGCCTGGAACTCTATGAGAGTAGAAAGTCTCATCTTTCTCCCGTGACTCCATACAGCAGGGCAAGTTTTAAGTTGATAGTTTTGTATGGCCCTCCAATGATGTTATAAATATCCAAATGGCCCTGGGCAAACAAACAAACAAACAAAATATATCCAAATGGCCCTGGTCCAAAGCATGCATTCCCAAAGGAGGAGTTAGGACCTCCCCCGGCCCAACTACGGAGCAAAAGCTTGTTAATGGAGGAGAAAATCCTAGGTACTAGAATGATTGGTGACATTCTAAAGGTCACAGTTCGTGAACAGCGACAGTGTTTCTGTGATATTACAATTCCATGCTGATGGAAGATGGTTTTTAATAAAATGGCTCCTTAGGAGACATTTTTTAAAAATATTGGTAAGCACGGCATTAGGTGGTGAGCTCCATTAAGGAAAGGACTAAGTAGGATTCGTTGACCAGTACCTACCAGTGCTGAGTACATGTCTGGCTGCTGAATTGCCAGTCAGCACTATAGTTACCATTTGTCCAACCTCCTCAGCAGAGCATAAGGCTGGTGCTGCTTTCCTTCCCCATAAGTATGTTAGATAGGGAAGAGTCTTTCATTTTTCACGCAGGGCACACGGGCACTCATTTCTTTTCGGCTATATGTATAGGAGTGGAAGGGCGAGGTCATAAGGCAGGTTCACCTTCAGTATGTATTTCCAGTTTTTCACATTGATTGCATTAATTTGTACCCTGGTAGGGAAGGTTGGTCAATAATGTCTGTTATATCATACTATATAATTAAAGATGCTGATTACTTTTCTTCAGGCTATTTCCATTTTGTGTGTATCAGCAAATATGACAGTGAAGAGGCACCAATGAATATGCAGACTTGGGGTGGAGATGCTTCTGTCCATTTATATTATACACGGTGGCTTTCTTTTTTTTTTTTTTTTTACACTGTGGCTTTCATTGAAAAGTAAAAATTATGAGGAATGACTCCAGTTGTCAACAACATGGTATGCCTCTACTTCTTCCTTCTTTCCCACAGGCAGCAAACATTCCAAGAAGCTTAAAAATAATTTAGTTTTGTCTGTTGTGATAGTTAGGTTTTTGGTGCCAACATGGCTCCCATAGGAACATGTGGGTGTCGTGTAGCCTGTCAATCAGGTCGCAGCTTGACTGGAGGGCAACTGAGATAAATGGCTCTCTGGAGGTGGGTCTTTCTCTCTCTCTCTGCTTCACTTTCCTGCTTTTGAGACACGTGGAGAGCTGGAGGAGCCAATGTGGAGACCCTCACCAGTGCTAAGATGCTTCCACCGCCATTGGATCCACAAGACTTTTCACCCACTGGCCTATGATCTTCCTGCATTCTGCATGATTGCTTGGAACTGTGTGAGTCTGAAGAGGGTTTTATGGACTAGTATTGGACTTATGGAGGAATATCAGGCTTATGGACTTGATCTGGACTGGGCTGTGATGTTTGCGTGATATATAATTACCTCGATATAAAGCTCTTTCTTATACATACATGAGTGTCAATGGATTTGTTTCTCTAGTCAACCCAGCCTAACACATCTGTATATCTTTTCTTCTGAGAACATGGAAACTGTTATTTTGATCATATGAATGTTGTGCTGAATCAAAAATATTTTTTTCTTTTTGTTTTTTAAGTAATCCAAAACTATTAAGGTTTGTGATGAAATTTACCTAGATCCTCATGATAGAGAATCAAAATCTATGAAGTTGCATTTATGCAACTGCTACAATTGGATTTCTATAGAAATATGTCCAGAATATTTATATTCATTTAATTGAGATTTTTAGACCTCTGGGATTTTCCCAAATATTCCAAATCAAGTCATAAAGTTAACCAAATATAAATAACTTTGGTTATCTTGCTTCCTCATCTTTTATTTAAGAACATCAGAAAGAAGAACGGTCTAGCAGAAAAGTTCAGCCTTTGGAATCAGGAGACACAGGTTCAAAATGAAGATTTGCTGTTTATCAGCTCTACTGCCTTAGAGAAGTTAATTAACCTCTTTGAACCTGTTTCTTCACTGGTAAAATGGAAATGGCAATATTTATTGCAAAGGACCCTTAGAATGATTAAATAAAGTATGTGATGCACTTTGATTTCCCAGAATATACACCAGAGAGCTATTCATTGTATTTGTCTAAATGGGTTCCCAAGTAGCTTCCAAATTTTAAAGTACTTCTTGTATCTATGCACACCCACCAAGTAAACTTGGATTTACTCCTTCTTATTTCTTCTCCCCAAGTCACCAGTGTGTACATATCTACTTAGATACATTTGAATTTTGAAAGACTAATTCATAGCATGAAAGAGATCCACAAACCAAATGTTTAGGGAAATATCATTATGAGGTGTACCGTCCCCGATCTAATCCCAAGTGTCTTACCCTTTCAAACCCTAATTTCATCTTCACAGTAGATCGACAAATGATTCTCTGGTTCGCTCTGACTTGTGGTGATCCCACGTGCGTCAGAGTAGAACTGTGCTCCATCAGGTTTTCAGTGGATCGCTTTCCAGAAGTAGATCATCAGGCCCCGCTTCCCTGCTACCTCTGGCTGCACTTAAAATGCTAAACAGTCAAGCACTTTACCTGTTTGGCTCATCCAGGGATGGCTCACTAACCCTAAGGGGCATATAATAAAAGAAGCTTCCTTCAAGATGATGAAAGGCACAGAGTTGCTTATCCAAGGTCATATCCAAGGTTACCAAGTGTTCCAAACAGAAATAAACCCAGGACTGGTTGAATCCAAAAATCACAATCTTCTGCCATCATTTCCATTGTCGTGCTTTTTTTTTCAACTTTGTCTCTTGGGAAATATCTAAATGACATTTTAGTGGTCCATCTCTATTTTCTCTCTCGAGACAGCATGTTTCCCCCATGATACATAAACACAGCACATCAAGGATCCAAGCTCTTCCTCTGGGAAATGGAGCTTACCTTTGACAGAAATGTTGAAAGGCTTTTCCACCATCCCAGCCACTGTGTTCACGCTGCAGACCCAGACTCCTGAGTCTGGGGGCACGATTCGGTGAACTGTGAACGTGGCCACTGAGAGATGGTCCGTTTGGTTAAAGTCTTTTGGCTGGAAAGGTCAGAAACAAAAAATAAAAGCTCTAGGAAGGTGTAAACAAAAGGCCCATAACACCGACTCCCTCTCATTGTTTCCCAAGAAGTTTTCCAGGCAAGATGAAGAAGCCAAATGTAATGCTAATATAAATACTGGCTTCTTTCCAAACTTATTGTAGTAATCCTGAAAGTTCATGTTGGATCAAAGCCTTCTCAAAGCCTGCCATCGTATTTGTGTGCTTGACAGTGGGAGGTAAACCCTTACCAACAAGAAGTCTGCTTCCTTTTCAGCAGCTCCTGGCAACATTTCTCCCTTTCCAGTTTACGGTAGCTGTGCTTGGGTGGACGGACAAAGTGGCTTTCTGAAGTGTTTAACGGGCTGCGGAGTAAGGCGTAGTGGGAAAAGGCAGGGCTCTAAAAATACCTGGGCCTGGCTGCCTTCACAGCCCAGCTCAGCCATGTTTTGTGATTCCTTCGTTAGTCAAGCCAGCGACTTCCACTCTGAGTGTAGGCAATGTGAAGTGGGAGGAGCCCTGGTGGCAAGGGGTTAACCACTTGCCTGGTACCCAAAGCGTTGTACTCTGCCCCATGGGGTCGCTGTGAGTTGGAATGGACTCTGTGACCACGGGGTTTGTTTTCAGTTTTCAGGGTAAGTGAGATGTTAGGGAGACACGGTTGGCCCTCACTCCGTGGCAGCGTTACTTCCATGAACTCACGAAACGCCCAAGAAAGATTTTGGAAGCTGTCATGTTGCCCTTCTATCTGCGTGGCAATGACACCTTCTCCATCTCCTGTTCCCTAGCAGTCACCTGAGTCTGTCTCCCGGTCAAGTTTTTTCAGTCATCTTTGAGAGAAAAGCAAGGTAACTATTTTAAGACCTTCAATTTCCTGTAACTCACTGCTGACAGAGAGACATTTGAGATTGTCAGGGGAGGGAACGGAGGCTTTTCGGAAAAGTAGCATCGTTTCCTGGGTGGGAGCATTGTCATGATTTGGTTCGACTAGGGACAGACATCAGCAAGGAAGGCAAAATCAAACTACAGAGAAACCAAAGCAATGCAGTCAGATCTATGGGATACCATGTGTCCTAGATTCCAAATTCATGGGCAGAAGATTCAAGAGTGGTCTACTTCAAGTCAAATCAGTTATCCTGAACCATTTTGATTCATAATCCCCTAATTGCTGATAAGAGCAAGTTAGAAACAGACCACGTGTCTCTCCATGTCCTGGTAGCAATGATCCCCTGCTGTGTCTTGGACTTGAAGTCACCCTGCCTGGCTGCTGGACCACCTCATTTACCCAGATACCAGGACTATGCCCTCCTCACCACACATGGTGCTGCACGATGAGTGGCAGCCAGACGCCTGGTTCTACTCGTGGGCACAGCCTCAGCCTCCCATTGGGTCAAGTAGCTCACCTTCTAGGAACATGGTATTTGCCAAAGCTAGCCACAGTCTTGGCATTTAGTAAAAGTTAACCACAGCCTGGCCCAGGAGGGTGTGCGCCCTGCATGGGGTCTGCAGGGTGATTGCTGTGCTGACAGCAGCCGGTGGTGGCCGGGGGTCAAATCAGGCATGGTTCTTACCTGGAGCACTGTTCCATCCGGCTTCACCAGGGTCATTTCCTCCTCAGCAGGGAGTGGCCAGCCTGAGGCTTTGCAGATGGGGTTAAATTTCCCGCTGTTGACTTCTATGTGCTCTGGCAAATCCTCGATCCGTGGGGTCCTCCGTGGCATGCCTGCCCGAAGAAGCAGCAGCACTGTGACACCCTTCTTCCGCACAGCAGTAATAGCAATCACAAACACAACTAGCATTTAGTGAGTCAAGCACGGAGCTCACATCTCTATCATTCTTTTTGTCACCACACATGCTGTCCCAGTTTTAGAGATGAAGAGGCTGAGGCAGGCTCCGGACCCTGGCTCACGGGCAGGATTGCTGGATATCAGAGCGAATGCCCCCAGGGATGCGGCATACGGTGGCAGTCCTCCTTGGAGCACCGGGGTGGGGGGAGGGGTTTGGCCTCGATGACAATGTTCATCATGACCAGCTCTCCCCAGACCGGACCGGTCAGTCCCCCTCTTGCTTTTTAAAGAGGATTTGTACAGACCCACCCCCCTCATCATGGGTTCGTCATCCCTTTAGCAAACCACTCAGGAGACTGCGGACTGATGGCTTTGCCCTCGGTTGTGAAGGTGAGAGGGATATAGCTCATCAACTGGGAAGCCCGCAAGCGGTAGACAGACAGCTTAGGAGGAAAAGCCGATTCCAAGAGTGGTTGCATCTGCACGGCCCTGACCACAATGTTACCTTGCTTTACCTTCTCTCTCACACCGGAGTCCTTGCCGCCCAGCGGAGCAGAGGCAGCCCTGGAACCGATCACACAGCGCCCCGTTGGTGCACCCGCACCTCAGCTTGCAGTCTGGTCCGTAATAACCAGGCTGGCAGGCTGCAAAGACATGGAGAACCAGTATGAATCCAG